ACACACACACACACACACACACACACACACACACACACACACACACACACACACACACACACAGTGAGAGACTCTCACAATACACTGAAAGCAACAATCCAAAAAAGATCATTGTCTCCACATTATTGATACTATTATCTTCTACTTCCATTCCACTTTGTGCATTAACGTTTGAGTGCCGGCTAATGGGACGTGGTCAGTTGCAATGTGTTGTTGTTGTGATCGCTTCCTGTTAGAGCTGACCTCTGCAGCAATTACAGATGTCACGGTTTTTAAAAGCTCAACTCGTGTTCAGTCTCTTTCCCTTCACTCCTTCACACTCACTATAGTTTCACTCTCACGGAGACACTTGATTTCCGAAGTTTGCCTGTGCCTAAAGTGTGAATGCTCGTGCACGTTAGAGATCAAATTAACAACTTTTGGAACTTTGCTCAGGCGCAGAGAAGTGTTCACCTGCAGCACCGCGCACAGCGGCTGTGCCAAACTCACCCAGATATCAAGGAGAGGCTGTGATGAGCCGCTCTCGCCATCTCGCAGCCTTTAGTCCTGGTCTTGAGCATCTCGGCCCGCAGAGACGGACAGTCCACAGTGATCTCGCCAATGGAGATGACCAGTTCACGGTACAGAGCCACGAGTGTATTGAACTCCTGGACGATCTGTGAGAGGATAGAGTCACACAAACAACACGTCACTCAATTAAAGCAAAATACACTTGAGCTGGAACGTGGCTTCTGGTCATTGCAGTAGATGTTTTTTTTTGCAATTAACTTTTCAGCATTAAAAACCAGTCGAGAGCAGCACAACACATCCAGCCTTGTTCTGTTTTCTGTCTGTGCACCACAAGTGTAACTGATCTGCAGGTGCACGGGGATTTGCTCCACTAGAGGTTTTATTTCAAAACTTGCAACATTGCACACATGCAGAATTGTGCTGAAAAAACGTGATGCATCAAACAGTCTGCAAAGTCAGCGTGCATGCGTGAACTGATCTTTTCAACTGTATAAATATTGGACGTTGGTGCCATTACGCTGAGTTCTGATATTTGCACATGCAGCCTGCAGGTCTTGCGCCTGGTGCACAAATATCTCGTGTAATCCCTCCTGCAGAGCGTCCTGCTGTATCGAGGTACATACGAGCAGCGAGTCTCCATGATGTCGCTGATGTCTGACAGGGTGAAGCAGGCTGCACACATATGATCACTGCTGCCTGCATCTGTCAAAACACAGGACATCTGTTGCCATGATCACGAACACATGCACCTCCGTGGATCGTCTGCTACATTCAGGCAAATTTGAAAACAATAAATAAATCACCATGTAAATGCAAATGATCAGTTTGGCTTCGACAAAGCAACGCAGATGCACAGAGCTATTTTTAGGCTGGACGTGGTTAAAGTCTTTTTTTTTTTTTGCAGCCTGTCTATCCTGCATGTGCGGGACAGCTGAGCGTCCTGTGGCACAAAGAAAGAAAGCTGCGGGGTAATAACATCTTTATCTGAGGCACTGACGTGTCGCAGACCTACCATCCTGCAGTCGGCCACGGCGCGCTGGGCTTTGCGGGTACTCTCCGTGCTCTCCCTCCTCTCTGGCTCTCGGTGCGGAGGCTTGCCGATCTGGAAGATGTTCCCGGCGGATCTGGGGCGGTTTTTGCGCCCATTCGATGCAGAACTCATGCATACACACCCACTAACAAAACAGTCCTAGTACGGAACGGGTTCTGTCCGATCCAACCCTCCCTCCTCTCTCCTCCAAACTCCACCACTTTCTCTACACCACCCCTGCACCTGAGTGTTCACCTTCCCCTCAACGATTCACCTTCCCCTCTATACTACCTCGATTATTGTGTCGTATGTGTGCGCCTTCCTCCCCTCTAGTGCGTGAGGAGGAGCGGACCTGATCCCGGACGAGCCTCGGAGCGCAGAGAAAGTGCCGGATGAGCGCCTGCGACTCCTCTCCGCATTGCCTCCACTGCGACGGGGCGCGAGTCACCTTCACTCCAGCAGCACACGGTGCACAGTGGAGATTCACACCCAGACCCAGGGCTCCAGCTAGCTGAGGTGTCGCCTCTGACGCGCCGATGTCGGGAGGAGACGATCGCATTCAAGGATATTCTCCAGATGCAGCCATTTCTTGTGATTGCGCGTTTCCATTAAGCACGAATGTAAAGACGGGGCGATAACGATCTTTTTCTTCGCAGCACAGCCGAAACAACGCTGCCGATGTCCCCGCTGACGCACAGCCTCCTCGCCGCCTCTGTGCAGCCGGAGAAAAGCGCAATGTCCCCACCACAGAAAAAGACAGAAGTTGGATCCTGGTGTCTCGCTGTGGATTCAGCTCCGGGTTTCTCCAGCTCCTCGGCGGGGCCTGGTTCTAACCTTGGAGGAGACGAGCAGCCGCTGCAGGCCTGACGTGGCTCTGTGGCTGGAAACACTGCGCACCCAAAGGACGGAATACTAATCAGGCCCATCAAGTCAGACCCCCGCCTCAAGCTGCATGAGAGCTGCTGACATGTACTGAGCCCCTGTCTCCACCCAGAGAAGAAGTACAATTACATGAATACCACAGTACCGATGTTAATGTGCAGTTCATTATACTTCTCCATGTACAACAAGCTCCCAGAGAACTACAGATCTGCTGCAACACTTTCCTGTTGATTAAATCAAACATTACTCATTTCATACTGTTACTCTCACTCTTTTATTTCTTATCGTTTACTCTCTATGTTCGAATTTCTTTTGAAATGCTTCTTTTTTGTAATGTCTCTGGGTGCTATTAAAATTTGTCATAACGCCTTTAATATTTTATGTAAAAACCCTTTGTTGCCTTGTTGCTGAAATACTTTTCACATAAACTTGGCTTCGGTCACCCATCGATTACCACTGGCACAATAGTACACATTTATTTGTTATTATCTTTATCTCTTATCAATATGCTATAGACCAGTGTAGTTCACAGTGGCTTTAATGTATTTAAAGTTGTTTGCAGGGGTGTTTTATGCAGTGGTGGGATGTAAGTACATTAAGTACATTTTTACTTTTCCATAAACAGCTCTGGGGTATTTGTTCTGAGAGCATGTGAAAGATATTTTGAATAGAATTGGTCCATTGCAGTGTATACATTACTTTTTAAATGTGAACGCAAAAATAGATTTATAAAAGCCATCAAAGTATATTTTAGACACACGCCCACAGCAGCATTCACACATTATCACAAAGATGCACACAGTAATAAAATGAAGCAGATTCTTTTAGTGAATAATCTCACTGTAAACATGGTTTCTTAGTAAACCAGTGGATTCATCTTGAATGGCTTTTATTCCAAATATGTCCATTCACCTTTAATAAACACACAATAATCAGTGTTAAATTGCAAAATGAAATCTCCTCTTTCCCCAAATAGCCCAAACTCTTTCGCTGAAACCTTGAACATCTCATCATGAAACTTCCACAAAGGACAAAGTTCTTTCCATAGAATCAACACAAATACTGAATATCTAGAACTACTTTATGTCCCAGGTGCCATTATTTATAGGCAGTCCAACAACAGCTCCCAATTGTCAACAAATCAGACCCCTTCACCTGACTCAGTAGCTCACATGACTCTAAACACACTTTTTTTTAAACAAAATGTTATCATTTATCATTGTATTAAATGTATCCATTTACAACTTATTTGATGGTTCATATTTAAAACAAATATACAATGGGTTCATGTTAAATGTTTTAACATATATGTATTTTGTTAGCTCCTCCTCAGCTAAGGATGTACACTTTTGATATTATTTACAAAAATGAAGATGATTTGCCATTAACAAATATTTTAGTAGTAAAATAAAGTAAGGATGTGATGTATGGTGAAGAACTGGAATAACATGAGCATTCAGCCAAAAAGTGCTTAGTCATGTTAGTCCTCTGTTTCTTTTTGTAATATTGAGGTTTAGGTATTAATATTTTTATTAAACACTGAGTTTTAATGACAGCACCGCTACACTATTAGAGAAATTAGTTATAATTATAACTACCATATAATTCAATTCAAATTTAAATTTATAGAAATGAATATGTCACTGTCGGTTCAGTTCCTTTGGCCGCGCTGCTAATTAAGAAAAGCTTCATTTGAGTGTAAAGTAAAACACTGCAACTAAGAGACTGTGATATTAACTTGCTTCCATCGTCTACAGGGACGGACATGTTGTGCAACACACATTACATGAGCATCATGTGAAGACAGAGAACAGAGGACATTCCAAACAGCCTCTACACCACTTCCCCATTTCAATCATTTATTAATGAGAGACAACAAGCTGGTACACTGTTGTTTTCCCTCCACCACACCATCCCACCTGCTTGAAATCAATACCTACGCACAGTGTACATATACACATACTGCATATATATCCTTTAACCTTACTTTACCCTCGTCCTTGAGAGTCTTCATTATAGCCTCTCTCTTTCTGATCTGCTCCGTCACTGTTTCCAGTCTCAAAAAGACGGGAAGAAGAGGTAGCAGAGGAAGCAGAATATGAAGAAGCCGATGACCCAGTTGACTGAATATATGTAGATGATGACCATGTCCATGTCAAAGCGCCAGCCTCCAGAGTCGTCCTCAAAGTCCAGAGCATCCAGACGATAGCCTCCTCCACGGGAGAACTGGCGTCTGGCGTTGGGACTGGGCTGTCTCTGGAAACCTGGTTTGGACGACAAATGAAGAAACTCATCCGATGGCTTTTCATTAAAATGACATTCCACCAAAAAACATGATGAGAGCACACTGTAAAAAAGTTAGTGACATGTCTGTGACAATGGATTCCACAATGGAAAAGAGTGGGAGGTTACTATTAAAGATGCTAAGCTAATGTGCTCTGTCATATTTCAGGGAAATTGGGCAAATAATGACATAAAGCAAAGTTTAAACACTGAAGATCATTTTAAATATGAAACATTGAGCCATTTCTTGCTGAAAGTCACAGTTGTTAGAATTTGTTTTTGAACAGTTTGATGTTTGGATAATCACCCTGCAGCAATTTAAGTTCCTAAAAGTTCATGAATCTATTTAAAAGACCCTGGTAGGAATATTTACAGTGAGCAATGACAAATGTTTTGATTATTTATACTTAAAAAGTGTGGATGATTTAAAATGTATAAAATCTAAATTATATGAAATGTGTATTATTTGGGATGTTACAGTGGCTTATTCATTTTATAACATTAAGTGCCTTTTGAGGTTTTGTTGGTTGTGGTCATTTATTCAGACACAAAGAGAGTAGAGCCACAGTCTTTTGAAGAAAGTGATCTGTAGTTGTACATAGGTAATACAACAGTATTTAAAAACTTGCCTCCGAAGATGCGGAACAGTTTCCTGCAGCTCGGTAAAGGCCACTTGGCACAACTTGCTTTCTGAAAATTTTGTTTCCTGGAAAGGTATTCCTTTGGGAAGAATGTTCTGGCCGTTTGGTTCAGCTCTGTGAGAAAGACAAAGAGACAAACTTAGGAACATCTCAGTCATGCCTTCTCTTGTTTTCACACTGGGGAGATAATGTTTGATTTACTCATTGTATTCAAAAAGAAAGAAAGAAAAGAAGCAGCAGATGAAGCAGCACTCGACTCCCTCATTTTCTCCTTGTTCTGTCTCAGTGTGACCTTGGCTTTGGTAATCAAAACAAGAATGCAATCTACCATCCTTGTCACCTAATCACCAACAAGAGTCCTCAGTGTGTCTGCAGTTCTCGTAACCGCGGCCACTCTCGTCTTTTTATGGCCACAGCCGAGTCTCTGCCGCTCACTTTCTCCTCCTGCACAAGTCCAGAAGTAGGTCAGCGTGAATCACAGAACTTCATTACTCATTCATGGGTTTGACCAAATCAGACTCCGTCCCATGTAATCAGTGTGCAGTGATCATGAGGTTTCATAAAATATGCATATCTGCATGCAGCATGAAAGTGCACATATTAATACAGTATTGTGTTGTCTTGTTTAAACAGTATAAGGCATTCATTTAATTCACATTCATATGTTTTCCTGAAATAGAGCTTCTTGTTTCTGTCAGAAAGCACTGAATGAAAATGTTCAGTTTGTGTTCGACACTGTCTTCTCAGTGTTACTCATCTGGTCGGAGCTGAACTAAAAGTCTACCGTGCTCCCTGTGGGACGTGTGCAGCTGGGCCCTCTGCACACATGCAGCTTACACGTCATCAAGCTGCAGATACACATAATTATGTCTTTTCTAACATTATGTTCATATGAAAGTAGTGCTACTGAGTCATGGTGGGGTTCTTTTTAAATATACATTTTACTGGCAGATTTTATTCATAAGTAGGAAGAGTAAGTCCTTATTGCCCTTTAGCTCACCCTTCTGGAAGAAGACGTGCGTGATGACGGTTCTGCAGAGGGGGCAGGGAGTGTTGGTTGGACTGTTCTTAGCCAGCGTCCTCAGACAGGGTTCACAGAAGACGTGGTTGCAGGGGGTGCACATGTAGGGGCTGAAGTACACGTCCAAACACACAGCGCAGATATAACCTTCTCTGTCCCCAGCGCTCACATCCTCGTCGTCCTCGCTGCTGCTGCTGGACGGGTTTCCTGTGGAACTCTGGGCACAGAGGGGAGAAGCATCCATGTTTGTGAACAAATGTCTCCTTGCATGACTGCAGAGCTCCTCCTCATGCAGATTAATATTTATGTGCATACATTCACACGCGCACATGTTCATGTGCAAGTCATCATTTTTTCATGTTTTGGATGAGATTCAAATTGGATTAGCGTCACAATAGGAAACTCAAATATTATTTCTGAAAAGAGATTTGATGAGAAAAAGAGCATTTTTAACTGAACCTCTTTTTTAATCTTTTCTCCAACTTCACAATTCTATTCAATTTAAATCCAAGGTTTCATTTTGAGCACAACATTTCATGTTGCAGCTGAACACCCTTCATCTCACCCTCTCCTTCCAAACATGAAAAAGAAACTGTGGTAGCCTTTAGTTGTCATAAAAACTTAAAAGGTGCTTAGTTTGTCCAGTCTGGACTAATGTAAAAAACATGGCGGCCTCCGCAGAGAGGGTCCCCTCGATGTAAATATAAAGTATTTAAATATAAAGGGCCTTTTCTGGGGTAAAGAAAACTACAATTCATACAATTTAGATGAAATGAACTAGTGAAAACCTCATGAGGATTATTCTAGTTAAATTTCTGCCAATAGTCCCCTTTCACCTAAATCTTACACACTGGACCTTTAATCCTGAGATGAGGGAAAATCTGGATTTTCTGGTCCAGACACTCAGATGACTTGTGTGAACCCAACCTGCTCACTGGCAGGTTTTCATCAACAAACCCTGAGTTTCTCTTGTTCCCACCCCCTCCTGCCGAGCCTGGAGAAGCTGTCTGATATCAAACACACACTAAAGCTCATTCCAATTGGAAGACAATTCAAATCCTTGTTGGACATTAGTTTGTTGGGGTTTGTTTTTGCTCACATGAACTCTGTTCTGATCAATCATTCATCATTATAACAAGGATCTCACCTCGGAATAAAATCTCGTCTGTCCTCTTAAAACTGAGACATTCAGACGACTGTCCGTTCCCCTGCACGATACTTAAAAAAACAGTGTGAATCTTCAGATGCATTAAGACACTGATGGATGAATAATCATTTCTCATGGTGTGATTGTTCGCACTGATGGAACATCCCTAGTTCACAGATCATATTGGATATTATGAGATATTTGTGAGTGAGGCCGGCTGGTGCTGTGGTGTAACTCAGGAGTCGTTCACTGCTGCTGCCATTTTTTGGCTTAAGTATGTGAGCATTATCATAATTCAAGTTTCTAGCTCCACTGGATTAAAAGGGAAGCTCGACACTTTATTCATATATTTCCATGGTGAGTTTGGGAGCTCCATTGATGACCACCATGCACATGAAGCATACTCAAAGTTAATTAAAGTAAGTTTACCATTGAGGGTTCAGTGTGTTTGGCTCAGAGTTTAAACCTGATCTCTGACACAAGCTCCTGGTGCAAGTGTCATTTCTACATATAGAGCTTCTGAGACACATGACAAAACAAAGGAGAACAAACCGGACATGAGTTTTAATTATACATTAACACTATATGTCATTGCAGTACCAGTTGCAAGTTAATCTATGTGAAAATGATTTTTTTTGTTCTTGGTACGCTATAAGAGTGTCTGATAGCGTCTTTGACACCTGCCTGTACAGCAGAATAATATGTGTGAGACGACGGGTGTGTCAGGTGTGAGTTAAGTGGAGTGAAGCGCCCAACTTCATTTTCTCACATCTTACTGAACAGCACCAGCACAGAGAGCAACCTGAGCCTGAAGTTCAAACCCCATCCACTTCACAGAATCAGAGGCAGCGCAGCTCAGGATATTGTTATTCTTGAGCAATCTATCGTAGGTCTTCCAGAGGTCACGCAGTTCTGTTAGATAAAAAAACATTTTCTTTACACTGCACATGGACAATCGTCTCTTATTTTAATCTAGTTAGATGTTCATGCAGCAAAATTCATCTTCCAGCCCCACCGCTCAAATCTCTCTCCTCTGTTCAGCATCTTCATCGTGACATTTCTCCAAAATGCTCCTCCACCCAAATCCCAACTTGAACTCACATGAGAGGATGTACCAGAACTCGTTTTGAGAACAGTAGCCCGGGTCCCCCCCCCCAATTCATCCGCGAACCTGTGTCAGCACATCCCTGGGGAGCTTTGTCTGAAGCTCCAGATTTGAGAAAGCCTAGGGGTGCGTGCAGAGTAATTACCACTCTCTCACCCAGGGGGAGCTCCAGGGACCTCCTTGTCACACCAGCCCTGCCTCCCAAGGTGTGTCATTAACACAGGAGAGACTCCAGAACACGTGGATCTCAAGTTATATTGGGCACTGAGGCTCTCCCCTGGTTACATGCACTGTAACATGGCAGCTTTGTCTTGGTTACGATGGTATATACGTACATAAATAGATAAATTCAACATCATAGCGAAGTATGAATTAATAAATCCAAAAAATAGAGGAGAAGACACGGTTGGGGCTTGATTTGAGAGCTACTCTTCCATAAAACTGAAAAGTTGAAAGTGTATAATCATAAAAGAATCATAATGCTTTTGATAAACAACTAACTGCAACTAAAACCACATTTAAGCTTCTCTGTAACAGCAACCAGAACGACAGCATCTGATAATGCAGCACTAATCGTCCCCCCCTCCCACCACACAGGATGCAACCTCTTCCTGTGGGAACATGCATGATAATAACTGCTCTGACCTTTGACCTCCTGCAGGAAGTTGCAGAAAGCACCACAGGATATTTTACTCAGGGCCTTAAACTTGGTTTTGCCACAAACCAAGTAGGCAAAGTAACATGAAAGCAGTGAAGTTAAGAGGGGGAGGAACAAAAAAGGATCTTATTTGTCAAAACTGAAAAGAGCTTATCGGAAATCTGAACAAGGCTTTGTGATGGTCGAGTTTGAGTCCATACAAAGAAGAAAAATAAGGAGGAGAAAAGTTATTGTTGACTTGTCAGCCGCCCTCCTATGAGCTGTAGTGATGCAGGCTGAGAGCAGAAGTGCTGTAGTTGGACTGAGCTGCTCCCAGGAGGCGATAAATGTAACTGTGCGAGCACAAAGTAAAACAGAGCGGAGATAAGACGACGCAAGTTCAATAAACTTTGATAATGATAAGTGAGCAGGCGAGCTCATTTCAATTTCTCCTGAATAAATCAAAGTTTACAGAAATAATTAACTGGGAAAGTACACCTACTCACTTTCTGAGAGTTTGGTGAGACGATCAATACCAACCCTTGTACATGCATTAAATATGGAGCTGCATGGGGCCCGAGGCAGGATTAGCTTAGTTTAGCATACTGGGCACAGAGACAAGCAGCTAGCCTGGGTTTTTTTAACATATGCTACCAGCACCATGATACATTAACAAAACCTGTGTTGAATTACATTACGATTAATTTCTGCTTGTGTACACATGACAAACACAGGACATAATGTGAGTTTCTTACATTCAGCTCTTGACCCTTAATTAACTCCACAAAGAGGTTTTGTTTTCACCTCTGTCAGTGGTTTGTCTGTTTCACAGAAAAGATTTCTTCAAAACTTGGTGGAAAGATTCAACATGAACCAAAAAAGAACCTGTTCAAATTTGGTGCTAATTCAGACAAAGGGGCCGATCTGGGAATTTCTTAATTTCTTATTTTAACATGTGAGAGAGGGTGTTTTAAATACTTTCACTGATTTCCCAGGGAATAATGCAGGAATCAGGAACATTGATGTCTGTGGGCAATTAAGTGTGGATCCTAATACAAATCCAGATTTAAATATGGTTGAGGGGGTAGACTGTTCAGCTGCTGTATAGTAATAAATCACACTAGAAACCTGTAACTACCACCAAAGTGTAACTGGGATAATGTGGGTTCAGTAGGGAATTAACAACTAGTGCGTGTCTTCAGTAGTTTTAGAACTACGACAGAACAAATGAGGTGCAGGGCTCGGCGGAGTTCTACTCTCCTGAAAATGCATTATAAATTACATGCACGATAAATGTAGGGTAAGTTTGGGCAGATTTAAAAATAGATGCATTTTCCTCATGGTGGATTCATCATGTAACAACACACACAATTCTATCTGTTAGAGACTGAGAGTATGTGAGATGTGTGTAACCACATCATGGATAAACATCAACACACAACCTTCAATGAGCCAGAGAGGGAGGAGAGGCTCAGTTTAAAACAATGGAATCAGCCGGAGGGACGCAGGAATTAGAAAATGGATATTCTCATTATCAAAGCAGCTAATTCTACTGAGCCGTCTGTGATACAGCAGTTAGAATAAATTCAACCCTCCGACATGACTGCAGATCTGCAGCAGCCAATCAAAACAGAATCTGCTCTTTTTTCTGCCTGGTTTTGAAGGGCTCTCTGCCCAAGCCTCATCGTGCAACTCATTCAGATGTAACCCCACTTTAAACCGCACAGACAATGGCTGTTGAGATGAGCCTGGTGCTGATAGGGCCGTCGAGAGACAGACAGACACACACACACACGGATATAAATGTGGCCAGTAGCTACACTCTGTCCTGTAAAGTGCCATAAATCAATACAGTGAGAAGAAGTGCACAAAGCAATATTCAAATCTGATTTTTGTATTTTATGTTTATGTTCTGTACCACACACACACACACACACACACACACACACACACACACACACACACACACACACAAACACACACACACACACAGACATAAACACTCACACACACACACACACACACACACACACACACACACACACACACACACACACACACACACACACACACACACACACNCACACACACACACACACACACACACACACACACACACACACACACACACACACACACACACACACACACACACACACACACACAGCTTTTACTTTGTTTTGTGCATTAGCCTTCCATCTTAAATGCAATCAGACCCTTGAGTGCATGACTTAGGTCATTTAAGCGCTGTGGTGGTATAAATATTACAGCATCACTTGAAATACTTCACTTTGCTGTGTCCACTTGTTCCCTAAAGTCATCAACCAAACAAAAGACACACTGCATGTGGTGTTTTTCTTCTTCTGTGTGAACTCTGGTGCAAGTTTTCAGTGGCCACATGAACTGAATCACATAAGATTTGCTTTGATTATAACATGAATTGAGAAATGGGAGAGAAAAAGAATTATTCAGTCACTGAATCACCACTTCTGTAGTTCTTCACTGGCAAAATATTTGGTAAACGAACACTTCAGCAGGCAGAGTCATAACAAGGAGACTGTTAATTGCGTCATTCACCTGTCTGCTCTCCAGCTGACTCTGTCTCCACCTCTCCCTCCTCCTTTGCCTCCTCCTCAGACACTTAATCCGGTTTTTCTCTCTTTTAATCATCCTCCTCTCTCCAAACGGCACAGAGGGCGGCACCACTGTCAGTGTCATGGTCTGACTCATCACATCCATCACGCCGCTACCTTCTTCATCGCCACCTTCCACATCCTCCTCCTCCTCCTCCTCTTCTTCTTCACCCTCCTCCTCCTCTCCTAACTCTGAGCTATGACGACTTTGCGACGATTGCCCAGTTGCTGTCACCGTTCCGACCTCCACCCAGGAAGAATCCGGCTCCCTGGATGAACTAAGCGGGTGGCGGTGCAAGGCTCCTGCAGGTCGCCTCTGAGGTGACAGAGGTGTGGTTCTGGATGGTTCGGGAGGCTGAGGGAGAGAAGAAGACGCGCCTCTTGCTGTGGGCCGAGGAGATTGGGCATTTAAATTGATGGGGATGGTCTGGGAGCAGGCTATACTGAGAGGTCTGAGATATGTGTTTCCTCTTGGGAAGCTGTTAGATCCTTCTCTGGCTTCCAAAGAATTACAGCTGGATGAACCTCCAGTGCTTCCTGTCCCTCCATCTCCACGTGTCTCAGTTCTTTCAGTCTTCCTCTGCCTTTGTTTTCCTCTGTCCTTTCCTTCCACATGTTCAACACTGCGTCTCTCCTCCTCAGTTTCTTGGTTGTCCTCTCTCCACCTTCCTCTGCCATCCTCTCTGCAGGTCTTTTTGTGTGATTTCCTCCCCGGCAGGGCAGGTCTCATCAGATGCTCCGCACCGCTCGACCTCCCCTCTCCTGCTGGATCTGCACTCCTCAGACAAGGTCTCACTGTCCTTAAACACGAGGTTTCTCTTTCTTCACTGGCGTCCTCAGGTCCTTGACTTCTAACTCTGCTCTTGGCATTCACACCAGAGGCCCCCGCATGGCAGTTCATGATGTTGCTCTTGCAGCCCCCTCAGGCACCAGCAGAGAGTGTCTGATGTGACTTCAACCAGCTAGCCTGGTCTTTCCCCTGCCATCTTTCCTTCAGTCTTGTTTCCGCTTCCAACTTCTGGATGTATAGAGTGCAGCTGACTCTATACCACTGCTGTTCCAGTGCAGAGGTGGTGAGCGGTGCAGCCCTCTGGCCTGGTCCGTCCTGGCCCCGTTAGCCCCCTGGGACATTCCACACTGTTGACAAAGACAAAGTCCCTCTGGTGAGCCACATTACAATAGTAGCACAGTTCCCGGCCTCACTATTGTCCCGTGTGACCTATAGAAAACACATCTCTATTCAACCACTGAACACACAAAAATAAGATGAAAAAGCCAGAGCCACCTTTTTTCATCACATCCATACCATGATGTCAGCCTTTTTCATTCTCCACTTGATAAACAGAGCACAAGGAGAGTGTGTATGTGTGTGTGTGTGTTTGTGTAGTTGTGGTATAAATATAATTCCTCTTCCTTTATTAGATGTCCGTGTTTTGTTTCTGACTCGTCTTTGTCAGACTTCTAGACAAGGAGAAAGTGTATTCGATGAAAAATGTCAGTAGAACCTGTTCAATCGCTCTTTTTCACAGGTGAATTTATCGTCTGAAAAGGAGCAGAAGATTCTTTATTAGAAGAGAAAAAGAACGTGAAGGGGAAAAGTGTGAAATCCAAACTTTTTAGGGTGGACAGATTCCTAGAAACATGATCACCCCTGTGGGCACAGTCTTACAAGACAGAGCCAGACATTACAGTGATAATGTAAGGTAGTACTTCTTTGTGATGGTTCACATTTTATTACAAACGGACAAATTAAAACTGAAAACCAGTTGTCACACGGTGATCTGGAACTTTGGGGGACCTCAGGAAACTGGGGCTCTTGAACAGAGACCCTACTTAACCCATGTGGTGACCCTGCTTTGACCGGCAGTGCCACTGAGATCAAAACACAAGTCATGCAGGTAGTTATAACAATGAACTACAGATCCCAGATGTACTGTCACCTCTCTCACCTAAAAGTGATAAGAATTAAAATTACTTACATACTTTGTTTCTGACCTAGGATCTGCTGTCCCTTTTCTCTACCCCATAATTTCTGTCTTTCCTGACTAGTGCCAAAAGACATAAATAAAAAATTCAATATGTTTTGTCATCAAGTAAGAGGGGACATAAAACCGTATGAAACATTATGGATTATTAAAGTGACAAATACAGATGGCAGTTTAAATCAATATGACTAGAAAATATATAAACATTATGCAAACTAATTACAAAAGATCCCTTAAAAGCTTCTCTGCAGAAATATATTTAGCAGCTTAGGTCCAAAGTTTAGGGAACCCTGAGCCAAAGGCTTTTTAGTCCTCAATCTGAGGATCTGAGTTTGCAAATGAGAAATGATGCCATACAATATATATATGTGTGTGTGTATAGGGGTGTTAAATCATACTATTACAATAGCAACCCAATTACCAATCGTGCAGACAGCAAACGTTACTGCCCTGCAAAAAAACGTTTTCACAATTCTCCATTTTAAATCCTTTTAATTCCACTTCCCCTTTGAATTCTGAATTGAATTATTCTCCACACACAGCCTTCAGATAACAATGCTCCCCACCCCCTAAGAGGTGGCTCAAAAGGTCAGCTGTTCGATCCCGAGCTCCTCAGCTCTTCACGTTGTGTTGTCCTTGCAAGACACTACAACTCAAATTGTCTCTGATGGGCGTCCTGGCAGTGTATGAATGGGATGTATAATAGAGAGCCACTATATATAGAAGCGCTGTATGAATGTGCATGCGGATGGGTGATTTTCACTCAGTGTAAAGTGCTTTGAGCAGAAGTTTAGAATAGAAAAACAATCATGTTAAATACAATCCATCCCCTCTGAGGACACACCCGTATTTCATCACTGTTTTTATTTCTCACTGCTCAATATTAGTCAACTCAAATATGAAGCCACAGCATTTATTGTTTTCAAGCAATTCTCCCCAACACACACACACACACACACACACACA